TGTTACATATTTCTTCGAATCTATAAAATATTGAGTTTTTTTATTTGTAATGCTGTTGCTGAATGATTTAAGTATAATATCAGATATTCAATAATTAAACAATACTGTGTTTATTGGTACTACAAAAAAAATATTGTAACCAATGATAAAATAATTGTTAATAGTACAATAAAAACTGTATAATTAACAATGTATATTGGTTGGTTAAACAAGATACTTTATACCTAATTAACAATATGTTGGTTGAATCTACAATAAAAATTAATATAACAATCATATAATGACTGTTAATTCTACAATAGTAACTGTATGATTAATAATGTGTATTGGTTGGTTAAACAAGGCTGTTTGAAAAATAATAACAATCATCAAATTGATAATAAAATCTTGTTGGCTCAATATTAACAAGATTATTGTTAATTTAACATAGATTTTTATTATTATGATGGTGGTTTTTCTTTCGGTGTATGAAATGTCCACTTGTGTCTGTTGATTCATCTATAGATACCCATATTTTTTTACCAGTTACATAATTTCTGATAATTTTCATATTATCATCGTAGCAATCATTTACATATGTTTTGCGTAAAGTAGTAACTGTTAAAATTTCTTTTCCGATGTATTTTTCCAAAAATGACCGGAAATGTATGTTATTAATTTTATGTAACGGAATATTACTTGACATCAATGCTTTTCATAGATCAAACGAAAAATTTAACTTTTTTGTATTTGTTACTAACTGTTGAATTTTTGAATTTTTATTGTTGGTTTTCTTATTTACTGCTCTAGAATGTTTATCTATTTTTAGATGTTGTGTCACAATATATCGTCTATCGGTACATACTTGCACTTCACACATTTTACAAAAGAGAATACTGCCATCAGAAGAAAATATAGTGTCACCAAATTCTGATACGTGATTTTTTAAAATGTCTGATTTAATCGGTTTGAATTTTGGCATTTTAACGGACGAAATTGATGCGAAAAAGTATAACGAACGACTACAGTACGGGCCACAAAAACATGCGGATAATTCTAGCAACCCCATTACTGTTAGGATTTCGGTATTTTTAAATATAACTGAATGCTGATAGACGATAGTGTATGTTATTGAGGGACAAGTTTTTATCTTAACGACCAAAATGCGATAATCGCTCTATAGCAGCGATTCCCAAACTGTGCACCGCGGTGCCCTAAGAGCACCATGACCATTTTCTAAGGCACCGTGGTCAACGTACGGTTCATAACAAATAGTTTAAAATGTATAAAATTGTTTTTCCATATGGTTTTTATAAAAACTTTATAGCAAATAATGTAATATTTTCTATTGTATATTCGGATATTCTCAGTTTAACCTTATACCTACCTAATAATTTTATATAATAATTATAACCATAATAACAATAATTTTTATTTATTTATTTTTTAAGTTTAAAAATGCATTAAATTATAATTAAGTTAAATTTTAATAAAATTTATAAAACTGGTTATCAATAGGTTTTTTTTTTGTTCTGTAATTTAGTTCACAGCAAGGCACCGTGGGTAAATTGGATCCAAAAAAGGCACCGCTGAAAAAAAATTAGGGAACCACTGCTCTATAGAAATAATAAGTAGGTATTAAAACAAATATAGAAATTTGTTCACTGCTACGTTTAGTTACTTTTTACCGCCTATGTAGGTAGGTATAGGTTATATAGGTTTATACCCGGTGTGCAAAATCCTATAGCATAGTTGTCATACCGATGGTTGCAAATAAGTGCCTATTGACATCTCAGAGATGTATTATGGACATAATATTAGTACATAAAGATTAACGGAACTTCTCATTTTCTGCGCATAGACTTCGCAATGACTATTGTTTAGAAAATAAAAAAAAACCATAAGAAGTTTTTTTCACACTCGTCGAGATTCGAACCGTTCACCCCTACCTACCTATTTCTAGACCTATACTACTGGGACCGTCGGGATGAAAATATAAAATTTTCGATAACAACTTTATTATATATATATATATATATATATATATAACAATATCAATATATTTGAAAAAATGGCAATTAGAATGATACAACTTGATATGATGTTGTGGGTAAAACCCTTCGTGATAATTCTTATAATTTATACAGCCGCAATGTACACAACACACCAGTAAATACGCTTTTTTCGATTTACTTTGTTCATCATACTATTATGGTCATTATAGACATAATAAAAATGTTAAATATAATCTTATTTTGTAGAAAATTTATATGGATTTACCAATTCAACAAAAACCCATGGTCCGATAATCACTATAGAGGCACGATCAGTGCCATTTGTATCATTATAGTTATTATTATCTATAATAATATAATGTACTATTGCAAATTAAAAACTGGTATTTCAAATTATGTTTCGTTAATTTTAAGACCGCAATTAAACGTTATATGCATATATTTTGCTTTTTTATTTTGTTACTTAACATGGTCATTACTTATTACAAACTGAACTACGCATGAAAGTCCTTAATGTAACTAAATTATTCCGAACTTCATGCGATGACACATAGAAATTGAAATGTGTAGTCAATTTTGGGACCCAAACAGTTAAGTACTTTGCATACAGATTAATAATTTACATTGCATTTTCAATCTAAATATGCCTACGTATAGAAGTCTTTTTTGCCATAAGTTTTTAGTGATGCTCATAATATGGCTAATGGATATAAAATGAGGAGGTCAAATTTAAGATCTAAACAGAATATCACATAGTAGTGGAAGTCACATTATTGCACACCAGGTAGTATATAGCGTTATATATATATGTATATAAAAGTATATATGTGGGATATATAATGGTTACTAAGGGCCTGATCATAGGCGTAAATAAGGGAGAGTAGTTGCTCCCCTAGAATAAATTAGGAGGGGCATTGCCCTCTTTGATATTTCACATACCTTGTTTAAAATTAAGCACAAAATAGCTGATTAGCTATTACTATAATTTTTTTTTTTAAATCTTAGGTTGGTAATTTTAAATTTTCGCTTAACTAACATAATGTTAGAAAATTAATAATTTTATATAATAATATGTAGGTAGTAAAGCAGTGTTTAGCCTCGGACACCCTTTTCGTTAGATATGTAATTATATTTTTGCCCCCCTAATAAATTTCCAAGTTACGTCTATGGGCCTGATTTTATTAAATTTTCCGACTAGGTCTTTCAATTAACATGATAAATAATTTAACTGCTATTAAGAGTATACATAAACGTTAAGTTTAATAAAAAAAAAAAAAGAATCTTGGTTCTTATTTATTATTTACTAAAAATATATAGTTATATCTATTATGAACAGTTTTAAGTGTTTCAACATTTTTAATTTTATTTAAATATTATTTGATTATTTTTATATAATTTAAAAATATTGAAAATGGTAGCTCAAAGCCCGCGCATCCGTTGTCTTTACTAAACAATTCATTATAGTAAACATGCAGATGCTGCTCAAATAAATTAGTTTTCTAAACTTTTAGCAGTAAGTACTTGTACATAAATAATATAATTTTACACTTATTAACAGAAAAAGTAGATATAAAGTTTCATTAAAATAATTTTTTGACTGTATTAGCATAGATTAATTACATATTTTCAGATGATCAATAAAATAATGTACTAAATATTTACATATTTATTAAAATTAATGTTACTTTTACATTGTTTTCAAATAATTTTTTCATGTTTGCATACAACTATAAGGCAATTATATTTACTAAAATTCATCAAATATAAGATGAATACATATTATGTAATGGCAACATTTTTCTGATTTTTTAGCACTCCTTACAATTATTTATTTTGTACCTACTGAATTATACTAAAAATTATACTTAATAAAATAAAAAAAAATATAAATTAAACTTAACTACATTATTGTACTTCTATGATTTACAAGTTCAGTATTAGTGACCAGTAGAGTGGCAATAGTCTGACTTGTAATTGTCAAACTTCTTTGTAATGCTATTCTTCTAATTTATAAAAATGTAAATATGATGTACTACTTTTAATATTGCTGTTATTGAATTATTGTAAAAATTTCAAATTTATTAAAATAATAGGATATAAAATTAATAAAGATATTCTTGGTACACAAATTGTTTATTTTAACAAAATATATACATATTTGATACAATGTGCATATTCATTTTTGTTTATGTATACATTAATTTGCATTTCATAATAAAAAAAAAAAAGGAAAACAATTTTATTTTAAGTTTATGATAAAATTGTTTTCCTTTTTTTTATATTTTAAGTTTATGATATACTGCATGTCAAAATGTAAGTTTTCATATAAAAAGCTAAAATTCTATAACTAAGACACATTATTGAAGTTCGAAGAGTTGATTTCAGCAATTTGAAGTGATATTTTGTAATAAGATCAAATATGCATAGTAAAATCCCCAAGTTTACTTTATAGACATTATTATTTACTTAAAATTAGTATGAAACAAATTATGCCAACAAATATGCATGAGTACATGGTAATTTATATATATTTTATAACATGTAAAAAGTAATAATAATAATGACAATATATTGCTAACTTTACTTTTAACATTACCATAATTTAATAGTTTAAGTTTAGCTCTAGGTTTTTTACAAAAAAATATTTGTGTTGATGGCAAATAAGTTTTAGTAGAATAGTTATGTACGGATGTAATATAATATAAATTATCTTTAAACTGTCTTTATTTTTCCTACTCATAATTACAATAAATAATAATTCGCTCACATACATGTTAATAATAATAATATAAGACACATTAGAAATACATCAATTAATATTACACAAGTATGGAAAATACTTGGGATATAGTATTTTCATCGCTAATAGACAATAATAAAATGCAATAACTTACACAAAATGCATCATAAAAAAATCACTAAAATTTAATACGAAAGAAAAAAAATTAATTAAAAATATAGATTAAATAATACAATAAAATGATGATAAAATATCTAGAACAAATTGTAAAAAAAAAAAAAAAGTGTAAACGATTGATGTTTGTTTATACTACCATTATAATAATTTATGACATTTTTATAAAAATGTAAGATAAATTATGATAGTTAAAATAGTAATAAACAAAAAAGATAATATTTAATATAAGAGTTGACTCTACTCAGAGAATCAACTGTTCACGTTATATTTGATGAGATGATGATGAAGAATGGCCCCCATGTTGATGATGCTCAATCTTGTATACAGCATGATATGCGTTCCTAATCAGGGCATATGGAAAACATGACTCAAGAAGATCCATGGTAAGAAAGGGTGACTCCTGTACAATCTTAAAATAAAATATATGGTTTTAATATTGTTATGCATAGTCAACACATTAAATGGTATAATAACAGTAAATAATGTACCTGATCCAACAAAAGGTACACGGATTCACGGTTGCGAACTGTATCACGGTCTGCTTCTTGACCAAGACGTAGCAGACTAGATGAAGCAAGCTAAATATTAAATAAAGAATAAAATAAGTTATTAATATATAGTAAAAAGCAAAGAAAACTTAGAAAAGATATAAATATTGGTAAGATTTTGAAAACGAAATATCTATAATTTTTAGTATCATTGACATAAGAAAATATCATATTTGATGAGCTTATTGCATGATGTTTATAAGTGATGACCAGTTATTTGTTGGATTTATATAGAATGAAGATAGCTGTAAATAATGAAAACCTTGGTGGTTAGATACAATAACTATTATACATTCAATTGATACAATTTCATGTTACAATGGTTATTAGTAGGGCCCGGATTTAAATGCACTTAAAATCATTCAAATATGCTCTAAAAAATAGCCAAAAATGTCCTTAAAAAATGCATTTTACTACAAAAATGACATAATTTTTTTATGTTGAACATTATTTAACACACTATTTAATACATTAAAATCACATTCACACGTAATAGGATCAACGTCTGCGAGGTAATACGAACTAGCTAATTATTTTTTATTTGACCAAATACTGGTGATGTATCATAGTTAATAATAAATTAAGATAAGATAAAAATTGAATCGAAAAAAATTTTATTTAATAAAGATTGACAATGTGTTCGGAAAACCCGATAAACCTACTTAAATATCAAGAAAATAATTTGTCTTTTGATTTTATTTTGAATATGCTAAATTTGTTTAGTATATCGAATAAATATGCATTAAAAACTAAAAAAATGACCCAATAATACTAAAAATGCTATAAAAATTAAAAAACGTCGAAATATGCAAAAAAAATGCAAAATAAAATTTGTAGTTTTGAAACCTTCATTACATGAAACGAATTATGTCTTAGAGAGCATTGTGTATGATCAACCAAAAAAATATGCACTTCGCAAACTTTAAAATATCAATAAAAAATATTGCATTGTTAATAAATAAAAAATATATGGCTAAATTTTAATAACTATATAATAATCTACAAAATCAAAAACGGTTTATGTAATAATTTCATAAGGAATTGACATATACTTTTCGTACTATGATCATGGATGCTTGACTGTTGGTTTTATTATGAAATACTTACTGCAAGAAATTCTTTCATGCGATCCTCAATATCACTTCCTACTCCAGCTGCTGAATTAGGATCAGCTCCAGCACCAGCTGCTGGCACGGCACCTGCAGAGCATACTGTGAAAAGCGCTCCAAACACAGCATTTACCGCAGCTGCCACACAATGTACATTATTGGCATGTCCTTCAAGGGAGGCTCGATAAAATGAATGCTCAGATCGAGCCAACTTGGGTACAGAAACAGCAACAAAAACCATCAACAGACATGCAGTTAAGTGTTCATCGTGTTCATCAGCTGAAATAGGAATTATCTATATATTACTGATTTTTATCAAATATTTATATGAAGTACCAGTCTTTTGGTTTCGTAGTGCTGCTGCTAATGCAGGGTCTACAGCACATTCTAAACCTGCAGCTGAGGCCATTTCACTGACAAGCTGTAAAAAATCCAAGTTTTTATTTATTATATTTATATCTATCATCAGCTCTATTACTCACCATAGTATCAGCGGTTGCACTCACTCCATTTATTCCACTAGCTCCTATTCCTACTCCACTAACTCCATTGACTCCACCATTACCAATTACACCTCCAATGCGAAGCTGGTGCTGCTGATGGTAGTCCTGAATGCTAGCCAATAAAAATGGTACACGGTCTTCAAGAACATCACGAAGTGCTGATTGGGCTAGCTGTCGAAAACTCAAGATCACACCAACAATTGTCATACGTTGTAAAACATTATCCACATCTACAAATAATTTCTCACATTTAAAATTAATTTTATTCTAATAATATTATAGAACAACTAAAAGTTATATTTATACTTACGTTGTAATTTTTTGAATTCAGTCTTCATTACATCAGGCTTATCAAAATTTGTGCGTAAAGCTAATAAAACATCTCGATTAGCAGCAACCAGTTTCTTAGAGTTGCATAGAAAATATGAAATAAATAATGATTAGTTGGTTCATTCATTTAATTCAATAATTTATTACTTACTTTGAGTTCTTGCACCTGACTAGCAACGTGCCACGTGAGAGTTTCATTGAGCAATTTCATTCCATAGGGACCCACAAGTTCAGCAAGTGCCCGTAATTCGCCAATGTCACTGAATTCTTCCGCATTGAATGGGACAGCTCCATCTGCTGTAAGGCTAACAAATGCACGCTGATTTGGTGAGTAACAAATATTGCCGGCACTTACTCGACGTAATAAAACTTCCGAGTACCTAAAAAAACAAACATCTCAATTACTTACACACATTGGTTATGATAATAGATAGCAAAATATACATAGTTGAGGTAACTTTAATTAATGCAGTAAAAATAATTTCTGAGAGTTGTATGAATTACCATTGGGTGTAGGATGAAGCAATTGTCTTATCACCATGACTATCAGCATGCTGTGTTTGTTGTAGTAGTGCATTGTTGAATACTCTCGTTACGTCAATGTGAACTATTCAAGAAAAAAAAACTATGATAATACAGGTAACAAATTATATAATAAATTAACAATAAGTTATTACCATAATTTTCAACAGTTTGCAGAACGCTCATATAGGCTCGAACACTAGCCAGTAACTCAGAAGGTTTAGCAATGTCACCTGTATCAGCATTAAACATAGCCATGCCTACCAAGGCTCGGCCAAATCGAGTTTCCAAGTGTTGGTGTAAGTACTCACGTGGTGCGAACGTATACTCCCACACATTTATTGTTGCACAATAATTTAATGCATAACACAGTTCAGTAAGAGCCATGTGCAGTTTATCCATTCTATGTAATATACATAAACAAATTCACATTTACATATGCGTTCATTATGTAAACAATTGGTAAATAAGTTGCTGTAAAACTTACGTGGTAAGTTCTTCACGTGTCTTCCTGTAACTTTCTGATCCAGGTCGGTCATTATCATCACCTGCTCCACCAAGTAACATAGAAGTTCCTGCATTTTTTCCTTTGCTATTAGTTGTGGATTTATCTTTTTTCTTTCTATTTACTGCCTGTGCAATTAGTAGGGCGCAATGTTTAGGCAGTAACCGGTCACTCATAGTACACTGTTCATCACATACGGTTGTAAGAATATTTTTAGCTTCCTTAGCCATATCATCCAGAAACATGTTGACGACTGACAGACTGCGTTCACGAATGTGGTGGCGCTAAATATAAGAATAATTGCTAATTGTTAAAATGTTTATTTCCATGATATTTCAAAATGTGTCAAGGAAAGTTACCTCTTCGGGACATAACTCATGAGCACACGACTGAAAATGACCACAAACCAGTGGGAATGCTATGATGTATCGGTTCTGGGCAGGAAACTCAAGGCACATATGAAACTGATCTTCAAATGTTTTGTTGTAAAAACTATCAATGAATACCAAAATTATATATTAAATTTATGAATACCAATTAAAATAAAACTGCGACAACAACCAAAAGACAATCAAATCAAATTAATATAAGATAAAAATAAATATATGTGCACATACCAAAACAGTGACAAATCAGAAGTATCAACAAGCATTTCATCCAAGTAGTCAACCATTCGCGTATGATGAGCAGCAGTGTCAAGCTGAGAAGCCAACTGTCGGTGATCAAAAAGATTTAGTTTTGAGTTGTTGCTGTTGTACCCGCCACCAACTCCACCAGATCCCGCTGAAGAGCAGTATGCTTGAACGCGAAACCAGTCGAGACGCAATGCACGCAAATCAAACAGTTCATTGTCTTCCACTATTTTATAGTCAAATAAAATATATACAAATAAATGCTTAAGAAATTATATAAGTATACTAGCTGACCCGACAAACGTTGTTTTGTCATATAAATTATTTCTAGAGAATATTTTGTTAGAAAAAATAACTAATTTAATATAGGTGTATAAGAATGTGGTATATAAGTGGAAAAGATATGGAGTGCTGTGAATGGTTACGGAATATTAAAATGAAAAAATATCAAACATTTATTTTTTTAATAATTTATTAAAATTGATCCTTTAAAATTATATACATCGCTAATTATGATAATATTAGTAAAAAACAATATCAATCCCTTTATGCAACAGAATGTACAATAATTTTTGTTATTCCATTTTTCGCCAACACAAACAAACTGGATGGTTCGAGAGCACGCCACGTATAATTGTCCATGTGAAAAACAATCTAAGCCTAATCAAATCTAAGCCACAAACAGACATCGTTTGGCCTTGAGACTTATTGATAGTCATTGCAAATGCCAATCTAATTGGGAATTGAAGGCTTTTAAATTGTATTGGCACATCTGTGGGTATAATAGGAATTCGCGGTAATAATATATTTTCACGGAATTTCCCATTCAAAACGATGGCTTCGATAATATTTTTCATTAATTTTTAAATGACTAATCACGTGCCGTTACACAACCGTGATGGGTTCAAATTACGAAGCAAAATAACCGGAGATTCAACCTTTAGTTGTAAATTATACGGTGGCATGCCTAGTAAATCCAATGAGTTTAAAAAATCTGTTGGATAATTTACAGCTTCAATAGCATCGCAAACTGTATCAATAGATTTGTATGACACCAAGTCTCCTGGTAACAGATGTTGTAAATTGGTCGGTAATTTTATGCATCCCGTTTCATCTGTAGTAACTTTCCCATCACCGATATCTAACAATTGTTTTGAGAATCTTTCGCACGCAGCTTTTTTTGATTGAATCGCAAGTATCGAAATCGTTTGCTCTCTATCTTTACATACATGTCGACCATGAATTGTTGACAAAGCTCATGACATCGTAGAATAACATTCTTGTTTGTTTTAGCACCTGTCGCGGGATCTTATTTAATATTTATACAATACCCATAATTTAATACCAAAAATAAAATTAATAGTTTTTAAATTGTTTTTAATAGTTTCATTTAATAATTCATTTTCAATTGTGCAGTTATCGACTGGGTTAAAAATTATTAAATTTAACTACGATTTATTAAACAATGGCACTTTTTCAACATTATTTTTCGTAAAAACCTTCTCATGGAAATTACGAATTAAAAAAATTTGAGCCAAACCGGCCCAGCTGTTCTCAATTGATGAAATATTATACATTTTTGGCTCCATTTATAGTTATATATATAGGATATGAAAATTTTGAATAACCGTGATTGTTTTATGACAAGTAATATAAGGGAATGATCATTGACAACTAATGGTAATTATTTCTTTAAATATTAAATATATTTGTACCTTGCTTAACTGACAGTGCAGATATTGTATGCACAATTGATTGAAGGATCACAAAAGTAGGATCTTGCTGATAATGTTGTTGATCTTGCTGATTGCCGTAAACAGATTGAATAGACTGTGCTAATTGGATAGCGTCAAATCCAACTAGGTACTGAACGTAATAGCGTTGTACTACTTGGCTATATTTGCGTACCAACACTGAAAGTTAAAAATATACCACTGATAACAAAAACATACACGTAAATAAAATATTGTAGCTATAACTCACTCCGGAGTTCTTCCATGTGAAACAGCAATTCAGGTAATTGCCTGTCAACCAGCAGATCTTCTACACCCGATGATTTTCCACTAGATTTACCAGTTCCTCCTGTTCCCGTTCCAGCATTCTTTTGGTTGTTTCCTCCACCAGAATTAGGGGCACCATGCCGCAACAACCAGCATACTTCATCTCGAGCCAGACTCAAGCCAATAAATACAAGTAAAACTTTTGGGCCAAGTAATCCAGGCTGATCAGTTAGTATCATTGCCAATTCTTTAAGGGCAGTACGAAGGTATTTACGGCGTTCACGATGTCGGTAAACGCTAAAATGGGTTTATAAAAACAAAAATTAAAGTTATATAAAATAGAGCAGCAATACTATCAATATTAGTAATAAATCATTTATTTTTAAGCAATTTTGGCCTAACTAAATTTTTTTTATTATTAACAAAATTAATAATAAACGTATACACTATATTTTAAACACAGTAAATTGAAAAATTTTCAACTTTTTAAAATAGATTATAATAAAAAGCAAAATATATACGCTTTTTGTGTAGCATGTGTATGTGCTTCTTTTACTTCAGAAACTTTTTTGCTATAGCCTTTGAGTGTCTCAAAAAATGATTGGACAAATGAGTGAATAGGCACTGTTTCATCTCTAAACAAAGCTATGGAATAGTTTGACTCAAGTGCAGCTATCCATAACTTATGGGCCACATTTCCATCTGGGTTATGTTGCTGTTGATTAGGTGGTTGAGGTTGTAAATTTTGATGACAAAGTAAAAATCCAACTATTGAAAGGAAAAGCAAAAAAAAAAAAAAATTGTGATTCTTTGATAGTATTAAATAAATATAAAATAATAAGATAATAATAAATAATATGCATTTAATAATAAAGTAAAACTGGGAAAAAAATAAAAAAATAACGAGACATACATATGATCCAACGCTCCATGGTTTCTAAAGAAAGATACTCGCATGATACTGTATCAGTGGCAGAAGGTTTCAACAGCTGCGCAGGATTTCCTACAAGGCTAAGTTTTTGATCAGACCTACAAAATTAATTAAAAATTGAAATATTAGTTTGGTAAGCAATAATTCTAAATTAGTTTTAAAAAAAATGTTTACCTCCACTTATCTGCTGTAAGGTTGCGTTGTACATACACAGGCCAAAGAGAACGCAATGCTCCAGATAGAAGTTTTGTATGTGGTACAAATTCATCAGCTAGACGGCGTACTGGCTGTTCATAGTCTACAATCATCTGGCCGAGTCGTGGGAAGCTCAAATCACTGTAAAGCATAATCTTTTATCATGCCTCCATACTGGTGTATTATAGTAACATATTTAAGAATATAAATTATTATAATTACCTCTGATTGTGAACCATTTCATGTGCAGCATTAAATAAACCCAATACAGCCTTGCGGTCTTCAACTCGTGATAAAAGAACCATAAGAGCTACGTATGTAGCAACCAAGTCCAAGTAGGCACGGGTCAGCTCATAATTGACAGTCTAGTAAATTGTAACATTATTTAAAAAAAAAACAACTAATTTGTGAGGCGGAAACTTAATTGAAAGAAAATAAGGTTATGTAACTCACTATGTCAAGGTGTATTTGACATGCATCCATGGTGGTTAGTAGTTCACAAACTTGATCCTTAAAATCAAGTAGGTCTACAAACGTGTAATAGTACAATGATAAGGACTTGATGATGTCATTACGTATAGGTGTTATAGCCTGCAACTGTTTATAAATATGTAAAATAAAATCAATAAAAAACATAAGCATACAGACGTATTATTGTTTAAAACTTACGCCTTTGATATCTACATTGGGAAACCGTCGCACAATGTATTTTATTGCAGACTCCAAAGTCTTGTCTGACAAGAATGCCGGTTTGGATTTTGCATCACCACACGCCTGTCATCAGAATAACAATACTATTACACCAGACAATACATACAATTACGTAACACATGACATTATTACACCTATAGGATATTACTACAACTCTACAATGGTATCATCACTATTGCTCCTACATTACTCTCGTCCAACCGTGATGGCACTTACAACACACGTTTTCCCGTAGACTCGGTGAACTAGTTACCATTTATCAAAGTGGTTAACTTAACAGAAACAATCACGCAGCAGTACCTTTTTGATGTTATAGATCCGTGTGAGCATGCCCACGCCCCGATCGTTGATCAAGCTCAACTTTTCGGCCAGCTTATGGTGACCGGCTGACAGACCGCCGCCACCGCCTCCTCCTAGCGTCGAGCCTGAGCGCGACGACATTTGTGCCGTTGACGACACCGCAGGGTAGATCGTACGGCCGGACGCGAACTGTTACACGTACGCGGTTTCCGGTCACGTTTGTCGGAAGGATATTTCCGCTGATGTTTACGATCGGCAAGGCGAGGCCAATTTTGATAATCGAATGATTGTGCGCGGACGGGCTGCCGCGGCGGCGTTGGTGATAAAATGCTGTCGAGCAGTGGGCTGCACGCGCAGTATGGCCACCGCCTTGCCCGCGGCCGCGATGAATAACCACAAAAGCGACAGCACTGCGCGACAACGACGATAACATCGCCGCCGACGACCGCGAGATCATCGGCTTATCAGCATAGCTTTTCATCGCTTTTTATCAGCGACGTAACGTGATTTCAATTTCACGTGTTGATTAGTGTTCGCTTTGCGTAACCGGTGCATGTGCCGTTTTCTTGTCGACGACGACAATTTCTTCGATTTGCGGCGCAACCTGGCACGGTGCACTGGTGCTAGTGGTGGTGGTTTTTCTTTCGCGACTTATCACATTCACGCGTTTAGTTGTAGCCACTAATTGGTCTTTTACGTCTTGTCTGTCTTAAGACCTTGTGAAGACTAACATGCCGCCTAAAAAATCCAAGAAATTGGCCAAGCACAACCAGGACTGGGACGATGATAACGACGATTCTGTGGGTGAGTCCAATGTGTTTTGTGTAGAGCTCATCTGTATGCATAATAGCAATCGCATAGTATAGGTTAATAATAATGCATGTAAACCGTTTCGTGATTGCTGTTCATTCGTTTATTATTTCAATTATTTTCTCTTAAACAAGATTTTTGTATTGAATCATTTTCCTTCTTTAGTAAATGCTCAAGAATGAATGTGAGTTTATTGTAACATTCAATTAATACTTAACAAAATTCAAAGTAACTAAAATTCATTGACATAGATTACAATGTTAAGAAGAGTTAGGTAGTCGTAATATTGGCCATGTTTGAAATTAAATAAAAAACCAATCATCTCAAATGCTGTTATCCTCACCACCATAAGGAGAACAATTTAATGTTCATAAAACCAATATGATTTTCTAAGATAAATGATTGTACTGTTGCAGTTTGGTTAAATTAGTGTTAATTGTTTGTCTTGATATGGAATGTAAGTGTATACATTTTATATATACACAGTTCTATGTTATTTCAACACCAGCTCCAAATTACCAAATTACTCTTGAAAAATGAATCTAGATTTCAGGTACCTGAATAAATGTTTTCCAAATAAATAAATCAATTTAGATTAAAATCACATAGGTAAAATGTACATCACAATTTAAGACGAGCATAATCAATATAATTTTAAAACTATATATAAGTGAAATAATTATAAGTTTAATTATTTTAAATTTTATTTTTTTTTATTAATTTAATTGTGTCATAAAATCAAGTATTTTTATAATATCATTTAAATTTACAATTTACAATTAATATATATACAATAATATTTATAACTTTTGGTAAGCCTATAATTCTAGATCCGTGTCTGAATCTGAGGTATCTTCTTTGGGTTCAAGTAAAATATTCTGTGGTAGCCGTAGTTTTAATCTTAGGTTGACGGATCTTCAACCGATTTTATAATGGAGTGCTCTGTCAGATTTGTAAAATTTTTACATGAAAGTTTTTAAATTGTTGCGTTTATTTCATTTATCATTTATTTTAAATTGTATTACATTGTTTCAGATATTTTTGATAAATTCAATATTTTACATATACTTAAATATAATTAATTTAGATAGTCTTGTTCTAAAAGAAAATTGTTTTATCTTATCTAGCTATTTAAATTATTTTTGATTTTATGATTTGTTTGCTCATTACTTTGAATAAAACATACTCATGAATAGGTGCCCCTAAATAAAAATTTATTGAAGCAAGTCAGAAAAAAAATCAGTTCTTTAGTAATATGCTTTTTTTTAGCTTATTCAATAATATTATATTCAACATTTTAATGTAATTTTTTTTTCATGTCAACAACTTGGAAAGTTCTTTCTATGTGTCAAATAATTAACATAACATATTCTTTTTGTCTTCTATTGTTACATCCAAATGCTAAATAGGACATAATCATAATGATTTATTTAACAATGAAAAATAACTTTGCCATTATTAATTTATTATTCTTTGACGTAGCTATAAATTACAACATAAAAAATTACAAAAACAAATATAAAAGTTATACCAACATATTTATAGTTGCATATAACTATATCCAGTTTTATTAATTAAATTAAAAATAATTGAAATATGTAGATATTGGACTGTAAAAACTAAATTTTTTACCCTTTAGTGGTGGGAGTTATACAAAAACACCTACCCACCTAAAAAGAAATTTAAGGGTAGTTTGTAAAAAGAGCTCCCCCACTATTTGTTCTACATGCTACATATGCACTCAATACCCAATGGTCAATACCCCCACCCACCTACCCACCCATTGATTTGAGTCCAGGGACTCAAAAATCTGTCGTCACGTTGCCACTGTATTGTGCTATATTATTTAGTTCAAATTTTATTATTTAAGAAGGGTCTTAATTATTTTATTAGTTCTTTTAATGAAATAAAACAGTATTTTTTTAGTTTTAATTTTTCTCGTTGAAAATATGAAACTATTTAAATTTAAAAAGATGACTTGATCTTCAAAGCATTAATTTTATTTTTATTTTAGTAAATTTTTAAAAATAAATAATGATTGATTATGAAATATATTTTATCGTAATATTACAGTGGATTTATTAGCTGCTGCCAAATTAAATGATGAGGCAATCAATGAAGAACAGCCAGTCCATGGAAATAAAATGTCTAAAAAAAACAAAAAAAAGAACAAAAAACAAGATTTTGAAGATGAATCAGAAGGTAGTCTCTATCTTGTACAATTAAATTACTAAATTCTAAATTATAATATACTTCGTAAATATTTTTATACAAATAATTTAATAATTAATGAGATATAATTTATTAGAAAATAATGAAAAAATTGTCCATCATTTAAAAAAATAACTTTTTAAGAAACATCTTTTGATTTTTAAATTAATTTATAATTTTAAAATATGTAGTTGGATGTTATAGACATCACTGGTAATAAATATATGTAAGATAATTTTAATTAATATAATTAATAATAGTAGGTACCTACTTCAATTTTTTTTTTTAAATCATAAGTTATACATTTAAATTTTTAAAAGCATTTTAATAATAATTAATGTATTTAGCAAATACTTTGAAAGTTGATCAAGAAAATGAAAAATTAAATGAAGAAGAGCCACTTAATCGTGGAAATAAAGTTTCAAAAAAAAATAAAAAAAAGAACAAGAATCAAGATTGGGAAGATGAATCTGAAGGTAGGTTTGATTTATTTGTCATTATAAAAGTATAATAGAATAAGCCATTCAGGGATTTGAAAATCATCTGTATTCAGACAAATTCATGTACTCAAAATCCTTCAACTATTAATAATTTCTAACTGTAGGTATAGAACTCAATGCTTTATTTCTATAAAAACCACATTTTTTAAATTAGTTATTCTTCATTTTTAGTTAAAAAATTTAAATAAATAGGTTATTTTTTAAAAATGAATTAGTACATTTAACAATAAATTTTTTGTATTATAATATAATAAAACCAACTGAGTGTACATAGTCTTTTAGATGAAATACTAAAATGTGCTTCAATTGAAACCTCTTTTGGATACACTCATTTATCTACTCTTCAGATATGATATTGTGAAACTTCTATAATAGATTTATGAGTCGGGTGGTTAAGTATACGTTTTAAAGGTGTAATATTAATATTTTTATTAAAATGAGAAAATAAAAGAAGTAATTATTTTTAGGGGCATACATAAATATACACCCTTACAATTTTCATTACACAGGGAGATTACATTAATAGTGTAAAGAGTGTTAGAATAACTCTTATTATAAACTCCATATATAGACATCACTATTGCTGTTTCAATGATCAAATAACCATGGTTGCATACCAAATATTTACACGCAAATATAAGTAATAACAAGTTATCATCGTTAAATGTAAAAGATGTAAGAAGGGTAGTCATGTGAAAGATAATCGCGGGGCCAACCAATCAAGTATAGAATAGGTAATCAAAATTAAAAATAAATGTGTTTTACGAACTTGATATTAAATTTCAAATGTATAAGTTACTTAAAACATAACCCATGTCCGAGTCAAGTGTAACGCACAAGAACAGGGTATATAAGGTAGTCCCAAATAGACCAATATTAAGATTGTTTTTAGTTTGATTGTAGGAAGTACCTTCACGCATGTTTACATAGTAAATTAAATGTTTGGACTTAGAATATTTTTATAAATGAATTGTAATTAATTTAAAGTTAAATTAATATTTTAAACATCCTATCTTCTTAACACCGAAGTTGCTGAACTTAAGGTATGCAACATTATGAAATTTTAAATTAGATTATTTATTTTAATTGTAAGCTTTTTGAAATTTGTTTCATGAACTGAAAATGTAGATTTAGTTGATTTATTGGCGGCCAACAAAATAAATGCTGACGATGAAATAGAAGAACCTCCACAGCCAATTCGTGGTAATAAAATTTCTAAGAAAAACAAAAAAAAGAATAAAAATCAGCAAGATTTGGAAGATAAATTTACAGGTATTATTATTATTATTTTTTATTTTTTTATAACTCTTAATTTTAAAATACACCTTACAAAAATGTATGGTTTATGTGTCCAATCTTAAAACATAAATACTCATTTTGCATATTATTGAATTTTCTAAAACATAATACATCAAATAATATTTTTCATATAAGAAATTACTGTAATTTTATAATTAAATGTTCAACTTTATATGAATTATGATAAAAAGAGATGGCAGTAAAAATATTGTTTTATTCTTAATTACTTATTTATAATTGATCCATGAAAAATTGTATGTAGGATAGTTCGGAGAATATTCCCCATGTCAGAAAAGTTCAGGAAATATTTCTTTTAATTAAATTATTCTTCCTATTGGCTATACATGACGTTCTAAAATACTAAAATTCAAATTCTATATTAATATGAAGTTAAGAAATATTTTATTATTATGTTATTTGTAACTATACAAATTAAGTAACTAGAAAAATATTCATAACAATTATCTACATAATATTATTTAACTTCTTGCCAAACTTTATAATTTCACAAATGAAAAATATAATACCATTAATACCAAATATTTTAATACTGTATTTTTAAACTATTTTTAAGTACTTTTTATAGTACTATTTTTAAGTAATTGAGTTATATTAGTAATGATATACTAATGATACACCAAGACACCAGTTTTTCTAAATAAAATAATTTGATACATCATGTGTAAAAATAATAATCATAATATTCAGGAAAGTTGGAAAAGTAGTCTAAAAGAAAATTCCTGGGAAAATAACTTTTCCCAGGAACATTTACCTGGAACTTTTCCAATGAGATATCTCTAATTGTATGTGTTTATTAACGTCCATTTTATTTTCATTATTCACATATTTTTTATTATATAGCTGATGATGTCAATACAGAAGAAAATATGATTACACCACCACCATCAGATGAAGAAGATATCAATAAACCAATAAAAGTCACAACAGGGAAATTGTCAAAAAAAAACAAAAGGAAAAAAAAATTTGATTTGGAGGATGATGACGACGATACAGAAACATGTAAGTTGCTTATATATACTGATTTGTTGAGGATAATAATAAATTGCATTTAATAAAGTTGAAAATAATATTGGTCAAGTCGATCATGATTCTAATTCTGAAGATAATAAACAACCTGTCTTGGACTTCGACAATAACCAAGAAGCTGTAGATGTTGATAATACTATTCAAAAAGTTACAGAAGATAATGTTGCAACAGGTAAAGTTTTTTGATATTAAGTTTGTCTACTTTAACTACTTTACATATACTTGTTCCTAATGAACTCTAATTATTAATATTATAGTACAAAGCAGTATTTGGTAAATTAGTATTTCACGATTATCGAAATACAAAATACTTGTGTTTTGTACTTGCCAAACCTTAAATTACTATTAATTTATATGCAAGTAATGATATAACTTAAAAAAAATAGTTGTAAAAGTAATAACATTAGTGAATCGACTATGGAATTACAATTATTAATAATTAATAATATAATATTTAATATTTAATATTAATATTAATTAATTAATATTTAATAATAAACTAACAGAAAGAATTAATATTCCACTGTTCAGCCATATAAATTTTGTCTTGTCATCATCGATATGAGGTTGTTACAATGATTGAATGATAAATGAAAAATAGCTCACTTTTTGTAACATACATACAAATTGTTATTTATTTTTCAGATAAATCTGAGGACAATAACTTAAAAGAAAATGAAACTATAATCACCATAGAAGAAAAAAAGAAAAAGAAAAGTAAAAAGAAGAAAAAAGAAAATGAAAACGTCGAGGAAGACATTACCAATGTTCCAATTACTGAGGATGGTTTGTATATTTGACATGTTTTAATTATATTCACAATTGTATATATTAAAAATGTTGTATGTTTATAGTTATAGTAGACCAAGAAACAACTGATATCAGTGAAGTGCCACAAATTAATGTCAAAGAAGTGGCTCTTGAACAGCATGATGTTGATGCTATTAATGATGGAGTTACAATTTCTACAAATGAAGGCTTAGGTAACATGTTTTTTGAAATTCAGACAAATTAATTATATAACATTTTTGTTCATTTAAGAAATGTTTTTGTTGAGACAATCCATGTTAACTGTTATTTAATTCTAATTAAATTTTAATATAAATATAATTTCTATCTATTATAATATTAATATCAGTTGCGCAAACAGCCAATCAACAAGCAGTAAATTTATGGGTCGCCATTACGAAAAGGTTGGGAAACACTGCTTTAGGGAACCAATAAAACATAATTAGCGATTGTATCATTGTATTGATTTATATTGGCTGAAACTTCTTACAGTGTCACATGATGTAGTTTGCACATTTTTAATTACAGGAATTTTTCCGAGGGTTAAATTACATTAACTGTCCTCGTTCAATTCGCCATTTAACCTTTATTAATTATAATTTTAAATCCTTTAAGATTATATGTAATGCACTAATACCCGACAAAATATATCTAATCTTGGATTTTATATTAATACCTTCAACTTTTATTAAGTGTGTTTATCTTTTTCGGCCTTTAAACACAAATGAAACAAATATGGTCGACTAATACTAACTTGTGACTATATTGAAATGGCTGATTCCATCCACACGACCACACCAACCCTGTGATTAGACAATTGCCTATGACGGCACAACGCTGTGTATAAATGAAAATAAATCACAGAATTGGTACGTGCAACCATTCAAGCACAGTCACCAATGAAACAACTGCAATGGTACACAGCCCTGGACAATGACACAATGAATGAAAAACACGTTATTCACAAAACGAAATTGACACTACTCAAAAAACGTGGCTGCGGACGTACGAAAACTTGAAACGAAATGAAATTTGATGTGAATACCACGAAGACACAAAAACGAGAGCGAGATGGGGCTGACGACATTCACCACGAAGGCTAAGGCCGCCGGATACCGCAAAATGAAGATAAACGTCTCAATGCCACCACATTAAACCAAAAAAACACGAGAACTTATGAAACTTTGTGGCACTGAGAACATGACTTTTACTTTTACAAAAACATAACCGAAAAACTTTTGAAAACGTGGAAATAACGACACTTTCTTGTGATGATAACAGCGCGATTGCGTACCCGGCCGGTCGCACATGGAGGCTTATCACCGCCGGCCACGAGGGCTGCGGATACTTTAGATCATAGAAAAGAGATTTAGATCATATACAATGGATAGAATCATCGCATATCACACCTATAGAATGAGTTGAAGTCAACATAACTATGGGACCGGTGACATCTGCGCATGCGCGCATGCTTATCAAATGTCAATCTGTTTTTTGGCTTAAAATTGAATTTAGGCATCACTAATTCTAAATTTACGAAACATTGTTATTGATCATCATTTTGACGTAGCAAATACAATATAATTAATTATATTATTATAATAATGCAATTTGAAACTTAACAAACACTTATACTTTATAGTTAATCGCTATCTTGTTCAATAATCAATTTATTAATATTTGCGCCAAAAATTAATGATCAGATGCCACGCGCATGCACATATAACTGTGGTCCTACTGTTATGTTGGCTTCACAAATTATTTGTATGACTCCATCCATTGTATATGATCTAAGGCGGATACGCAACGCACCGCTACGCATCACACGAAAATGATAACATAAAATGACACACAAATGGATTGATACAACATAAACAATTATATTACATTATATTACCTATATTATATTATATTACATTATATTATAATGATATTTGAACACTTATTAGATCAACGTGATCAAAAAACGGTGAACCTAGAATCTAAATCAAAATCTAAAATGAAGATTATTAAATCTGATAAACTTTCCCACAAAGAGAAAAAGAAAATGAAAAAAGAATTGGAGTATCAAAAACAAATGGAGATGTTGACCAAAAAAGGAGGCCAGGGCCATAGTGAGCTAGGTGCCAATTTCTCAGTATCACAGATACAAAAGACAGCTGGTCAACTAGCAGCTATGGAACATGCGGTTGATATCAAAATTGATAGCTTTAGCATTGCAGCCAAGGGCCAGGACTTATTTGTCAACGCCAGTCTACTTATCGCACAAGGTCGGCGG